GGGCGTGTTTAGTCTCTGGTTTCTGTCTCCGGCCAGGGACCTGCTTTGTTGCGCGCATTTAGGACGCCGAGAAAGGGGTGTTCCGTAATCGTAAGATATTAAATGCAGTGATGCGCGTGAGAAGTGAAATAGGCGCTATTTGGGTTCATATTTTGTTTGCTTATTTAAGATGAAGATTGAGCAGGTGCGTTTAAGGGGTGAAGGGGGGGGGGTGATCGCTAGGGCGCCACTAGAAAGGCGCCGTAAGGTAGGCAATTGGACCTATTTTATTTCGGACTATTTCGGGGGAAGGTGTACGGACTATTTCGCAAGTGATTTCCCCCTCGGCTGTACCTAGACTCGTTTTCGTGGAATATTAACACAGTGAGCTCTTTGGTTTTATTTTCGATCAGCCCATCGGATTCCTCGTGAAACTTGTGTCCGAACGAGCCTACATGTGTGATGGGGTTCCGTGCTTGAATACCAACACTTTAAATAGGATTTTAAAACAAGGGAAACTATGAATACGAGATGAATTTTGTGCTAAGCAGGAAACTCGTTCTTTAACCAAACCACGGCAATTCTTCGAAATCAGTTCGTAGTTTTATCTCAGAGTAATGGAGAAGTGTGTGTTGAGAGAGGGTTTTCCGTGGCGATAAAAGGTACATTTAAAACGCCCGCCGCGCGCTCACTGTGAAGTAGCGGAAGTAGTTCATGTCCGCCCACAGGTGGCAGCACGGACGGCGCCGTCGTCGCCGCCGTAATCCAAAGAGTCGAGTTATACATACAGGACATCACATGATCAGACCAGGACATCCTCAACTGAATCACTTCAAGTACAAGACGGCGTAGGCGACACGAGTTCTGGTAAGGTTAGTTTGGGACATGTCAACACATGACAACAAGTATTAGCTGTGTGACAGATATTATTCCAATATGTTATTAGGTTAGGTGTATTGCATCATGGTAAACTAGGACTTAACACATCATGAGGGCGGAAGGCACAATGTGTTAGCCAGAAAGAAAAAAAGAATTACTGTTAATCTTCATAATTGATTAATTGGCTAACTGGTGTGTGGTATAATACACGGTTTGTGCTTCAAATGTGGTGAGACAAAGTCCTTCAGGAGACCTTCACTGCTACAGATGTAGAAGAATTTAATAATGCCCTAACTGTGAAGGACTGGTACCTTGTGACATATGGTAAAATGGACACATACTATCCTACGAAGGCCTTGACAAGGAACAGTTCCAAGTGCAGCAAGTGTTGCTGTCATGTATGATGGCAAGTTGTTTTAACTAAGATTTAATTGACCTT